TGATATATTTGAGGTTATAGGACCTGTATTTTTTAACAGAAATATAGCGGTATAGCTACATGTACACAAATACTAATAAAAAGTACCTGCTTCTTCTGAATCAGTCAATTTAACCTCAAATGATGAAATGGTATCTTAAAAAGATAAAAGAACAAGAAAAACAGCACAAAAGGCAGAGAAAATGCCTTGCATTAACAGCACTAGTGGAAGATCTGGCATCTCTCACCGCCACGTGAGTATCACCGGTAGTTCCTAACTCATCACAAGGCCCATTTACAAAGGAAGGAAGGTAAAATCTTACAAAAAGAATTAAAACGGAGAATTAAATCTTTATCAGGCCCAGTTTTAAGTCATCAATGTATATTGGTTATTTTCAGAAATTACAATTTGATTTACTTGTAAAATCATGTGCTTTTCCCACTTTGCAGAAGGCGGTGGATGGGGGACAGTGGAAGTCCTAATCCATTTGCAGGGTCTCCACACAGACTAAGTGGCTGGTGACGGCCCTTTGACCGCAGCTGAGGGGCATGACGTCTTACTGTCACAGACAGCACTGTAATGTCGAGTTTGGCGGGTGTAGTTAGGCTAGAAGGTGCTACCTTATCATGTGATCCCCCTTTTGACCCATTTTAAAGTTGATTCCATATTTAATATTCTCTGGTTTCTTTTTGATGGAGCCTTTTCTCTTTTGTCTAGTCATTCCTGTTGGGTTTTTGTCAATGTGCTTCCTGCTTGTGTTCTGTAGGATGTTCTGTATGTGAAATCCAGGACAGGTGGATCTAGAGACAGGACCCAGACTGATAATTGCCTAGGGGCATGGCACAGGAGCCAGCGACAATGAGGACGAGAAGAGAATGTCCTGAAACTGCCTGTGGTGATGACTGCACAGCTCTTCTTAATATGACTGAATGATTCAACTGTATGATATGTGAAGTATGTGCCAACAAAACTATTCTCTTAAAAAAGAATCAGATGTGTTAGCTTCTATATTAAAAGATTCCCAGTACTATAGCTTTGTTATTTTTATATGTCTTTTAAAATAATTACCAGTTCCACAGCCAGGATTTTAGATGTTGTTATTATGGTTGTTGTTATAACATCCAGCTTGCTATCTTACTTTATACACCCCAAACCCAAACCCATTGCCACTGAGGTGGACCCGCCATTGACTTTCTGGGACCATAAATCTGTGCAGGAACAGATAGGCTCATTTTTTTTGCTCTTTTGCTGGTTCGAACCAGCCACCTTGTAGTTAGTTCAGTGTTTACTGTACATTGCCACTGCATCCACAGCTGGTTCAAAAGGCTAATCAATGGTGCTTTTGTATCTAAAAATCAATTTTCAAAATCGTTGCCTGAAATAATATGATTCTTTAAAATCCTAAACTCCAGCCAGCTACGTGAAAATCTATGCGCAAAATACGAAAAGCTGCAACATCTACAGTGATTGTCTTCTGACTAGACCACTCAGACTCACTGACCCTGGAAAGGCCACATTTTGGTATCATAATTACTTAGAAGAATAAATCCGATGGCTGACGGGTCGGCTCTGACTCATGGTGATTGCAAGTGTGTGGGGGCACTGTGTGCCACAGGGTTTTCAATGGCTGGGTATGGTTTTTTAGAAGTACTATCAATAGGACTTTCTTCCCAGAAACTTCTGGGAGAACTGAACCTCCAATCTTTCCAAGTTAGTGGCCAGACACTCGCATTTCCAGGACTGCCTACTTTAGAAGGACACTGGCCTGGAGGCAGAGCTTGCCAGGAAGCATCCTTAAGTGGATGCCTAATCGAGCAGGCCACACAACCAACAAGGGGCTGGCCATTTTCTGGTCTTACATGTATAAAGGACCAAGATTCACAATGAGCAAAGTCAAGAGCTGCCCTTACTTGGAGGCATCATATCTATCGATATCTAAATATCTAGATAGATAGATAGATAGATAGATATAGATAGATATTTTATAAATCATTTTATCGGGGGTTCATACAATTCTCTTTTTAAAATCATTTTATTGGGGGCTCGTGCAACTCTTATCAAAACCCACACATCCATCCATTGTGTCGAGCACATTTGCACATATGTTGCCATCATCGTTTTCAAAGCATTTTCTTTCTACTTGAGCCCTTGGTATCAGCTCATTTTTCCCCCTCTCTCCAGCTCCCTCACTCTTTTACTCCCTCATGAACCCTTGATAACTTATAAATTATTATTATTTTTTCATGTCTTGCACTGTCCAATGTCTCCCTTTACCCCCTTGTCTGTTGTCCATCCCCCTGGGAGGGGGTTAAAGATAGATCATTGTGAATGGTTCCCTCTTTCTCCCCCTACTTTCCCCTTCCCCTCCTGGTATGGCTACTCCCAATATTGGTACCGAGGAGTTTATCTGTCCTGTATTCCCTGTGTTTCCAGCTCTTATCTGTACCTATGAACATGCTCTGGTCTAGCCAGATTTGTAAGGTAGAATTAGGGTCATGATAGTGGGAGGTGAGGAAGCCTTTAACAACCAAAGGAAAGCTGTATGTTTCATCGGTGCTATACTGCACGCTGACTAGCCCATCTTCTCCCCATGACCCTTCTGAAAGGGAAAGTCCAATTACTTACAGATTGGCTTTGAGCCTCCACTCCGCACTCCTAGCCTCATTCACATTATGATTTTTTTGTTCAGGGTCTTGGATGTCTGATACCTGATCCCATCAACACCTCATGATCACACAGGCTGGTGTGCTTCTTCCATGTGGGATTTGTTGCTTCTCAGCTAGATGGCCGCTTGTTTATCTTCACGCCTTTAAGACCCCAGAAGCTATATTTTTTGATAGCCAGGCACCATTCGCTTTCTTCACAACACTTGGGGAGCATTATATTCCAAACAGAAATCAATCTCTTTACAAACAGATTTAAGCATAGTTTCCAGGGTCTTTTCAAGGGACACAATTACAAGAGTCACCACATTCAGGAAAATGCAAAGTTATGACTTCTTTTCAGCTATTTACAGAACTCCCGAAGCAGGATGTGGTCGCGTAAGAAAAGCTGAACAGAGTTAGAAAACTAACATAGACCAAAGGTATCCTTAAAGTAGAAACAAGAGTTCTATTATGATTCGAGTTGGGAAGTGACAATTAAGGAGTAAAACACCAGGCTAGTTTAGGGGAAAGAGAGACAGTTTTAACAGCGACCCATCAAGGGAGGTTTTACAAGAATAAATGGTCGTTACAGAAATGCTGTTCAATAGAACTTTTTGCAAAAGTGGAGTTGTTTTATATTTCACTGTACAGTATTGTAGCCATAAGCTACACATATAGGTACCGAACACTTGAAATGTGAGTAGTGAGGATAGGGAACTGAAATTCTAATTCTATTTAATTTGGATTAATTTAAAGAGCCACGGGTGACTAATAACGACTATATTGGATAGCACAGACTTAGAATATGTGATTTAAAGAATGAACAGGAGATAGAGTGAGGGAAGGTCAAAGAGATAATGAAGGAGAGAGTACAAAGAATAGCCCAAACCTGGTAGCCTCATGTAAACCAAACCAAACCAAACTCACTGCCATTCAGCCAATGCCAACTCACAGTGACCATATAGGACAGGGTAGAACTCCCGCTTTGAATTTCTGAGACTAACTCTTTACAGGAGTAGAAAGACCCATCTTTCTCCCTCGGAGTCACTGGTGGTTTTGAACTGCTGACCTTGCAGATTGTAGCCCAACAAATAACCACTATGCCACCAGGGCTCCGTCAGTTCCCAAAAAGTACCCAATGTTCTTCAGGTACCATCTCACTTAATCTTCACCAGAATCTATGTGCACAGTAATTTGTCCATAATTTCTTAGATGAGGAAACCTACTCAAGAGAGGCTAGACCCAATGTCCCTCATTACACAGCCAGTCAGCAATAAAATCAGAATTGGAATTTAAGTAAAATCAATCCCATATTTTTTCTACTATCATATGCTGCAGGCAAGGAGTACGTGGGATAGGCACACTCCCAGTTTGGAAGGCTAAGTCTTTCTGCTCCCAGAGGACTGGCAGTCCCCTCTGCCAGACTCCGGAGTCATCTTGGGTGTGCCTGTGAATAGCTATGATCCAATGCCGTTCCTCTCCCCAGTAGAAGCATGTGGGTGCTTCCGGCAGTCCTTGTTCTAAGGAACTAGAGGAGGTCGGTGGATTTGGATAGGACCTAAGAAGCTCTGAGTATTCCTACACAAAAGACAAACATGGATGTATTTGGGATTAAGAGGCTCCAAGCTTATGGTACCCCACATGAAGAGCTTTAAAAAGTACTGTGAAGACAGACGAGGAGAGACATGCAGTTGAGGATAGCACCCACAGACTAGAAACCCTAAAAGCACGGAGCTGGATTTCAGAAACTGACTACGGGGCATTCTTAACTACTTCACATATGTCTAACCTAAGAGTTTCTCAAAACTTCACTCTGGGGAAAATGCGTATGATGTAGTGTTAAATTTAAAAAGGAGAACACAAAAGTAAAGACACACCAGCACTTCAGAAGAACTGATGGAGGAACTTTGGTTTCTCCTTCTTTATATTTTTCCTGAACTTTTTGAATTTCCTATCATACGAGTTTATATTTTTACCCAAAGAGAACAGTGAAAGATACTAATTGAAATATTTTCACTCAATACTTGGGGACTGGGGAAAAATAATTAAAAGAAGAAAAAAATTCCCCAATACTTAACAAGCTACATAAAAAAAGAACCTTTCGGAATTTGTAAAGAAACAAACAAACAAAATTTGTCCCCAGCCCAAAGACCGAATCCATCAAAATTTCCAAGGTGAGGCCAAGAAATCTGGAGTTTTGAAAAAAATCCCCTTGGGTAACTATGATTTTTTTTTAATTTACTTAACATTTTCTTTTTCATTTTAAAGTTTCTTGATCTAAACTATCCTGTCACCAGGTTATGGTGTAATGGATGCATGACATATAACAGTGGCAGTAGGTGACAGCGGCATGGACTTGGGTGGCTAGTGTCTCACCATTGGTCTCTGCAAACTTGTAAACATCATTCAGTGTTTTCAGTTCTTGTCTTGGACACGCCGCTACACACAGTGCTACAGACTTGATCTTCCGGTTTATCAAGTCCAGATTGCATGGATCCAAAAAGAACACATACCTACAGTGCAGAGGGAAAAAATGAGATATTATTTCACAAAATCTATTCTGACTCATCACATATTTGACAAAGCTCAAAAGCAAAGAACTGAAAAAGGCAAAGAACTATTCTATACTCCCTCACAATAAAAATTTCACAAATCTAATCACATATTTTCAAAAATGACTGCTTATAAATATATTTATAAATATATCATTAACAATGGAGATTGGAGAATTAAGGAAATATTTCTTCACGATCAGCTTTTCTATATTTACATTTCTGTAATGTGCACATACGGATTTATCATCAGAAAACATCTATTTTAGTTTTTTAAAATTTACTTTAGTTTTCTCTTTTTGGTCAAAAGTTGCTCACATCAGAGAAATTAGAAGACACTAATAGCATATATGTTATAATTTATATATGCATCTTACTCATTGAACTAATAAATACATATAGTTGATATGTACAGTTATAAGTGAGTGGAGATTAGAGGGAAATATGTCAGAAAACCATTAATCTTTGGGTGTTAGAATATATGTGGTTTTACTATTTTTTTCCTTCAAAATTCTCAAACATTTCCTAGGAAAAATACAAATTACTTTTGAATGAAGGTAGTAACAGTGCTGTTGTTTTTATTGTTAGAGGCTGTCAAATGAGTTTCAACTCATCAGTGATTCCAGGTTCAACAGAAGGAAACACTGCCGCATCTGCACAATCCTGTCATTGTTACCGTTGAGCCCATGGCCGCAACTGCATTGTTAATCCATCTCATTCATGGTCTTTCCATTTTTCTCTGACACTTTACCAGCCAGGATGTCTTCCTCCAGGGACTGGTCCACCTGATAACACGCCCCAAGTCCATGAGAAGCCTCACCAGCCTCACCCCTAAGGGACAGTCCACCTGTACTTCATCTACGACAGATCAGTTCATTCTTCTGGCGGTCCATGGTACAGTCAATATCCCGCACCACCATCAGGATTCCAATGCCTCCGGTCCATCGCGGTCTTCCTACTTCACTGTCCAGCTTTCACATGCACATGAGGCCATTGAAAGTGCCACAGCATGGACCAGGCACACGCTGGTCCTCATGGTCACAACCTACGCTACTGAACACTTCAAAGAGGTCTGTCTTGTGCAGCAGATGTGCCCAGTGCAACATGTCACTGGATTTCTTGACTGCTGCTTCCATGGGCACTGATTGTGGATCCAAGTACCGTGAAACCCTGGAGACCTTCCATCTTTTCTCCATTGATCAGCTTTTAGTTTATTGGCCCAGTTGTAAGATTTTCATTTCTTTGTATTGAACAGTAATCCATCCTGAAGCCTGTGATCTTTCATCTTCATCAGTAAATGCTTCAAGTCTTCTTTGCTTTCAGCAAGCAAGGTAAGGTCCTTTACATACCAAAAGTTGTTCATGAGTCCTCTTCCGATCTTGATGATGTGTTCTTCATAGAGCCTAGCTACTTTAACTATCTGCTCAGCATACACTGAATACTGTTCATTGATATCGATGTTAATTGCTGTTTATTGAAAAGGAAAATTATAAAGATAAGCCTAGTATTCTAATATATGCCCCTCAGTAACATTTAGATTTATATTTTAGAAAAGGGAAGGTTATTACTTAGCAATCACACTAAAACACACATTTTTTTACATGTTACTAAGGAGAAGCGATGACAAAGATAGATCAAACGCCAACCACTGCCCACTAAGGTAAAACTCAAAATAAAATTGACTGCCATCAAGTCACTTCTGACTCAGTGACCCGGCAGGACAGAGTAGAACTGCCCCTGTGGGTTTCCAAGATTGTAGCTCTTTATAGCAGTAAAAAGCCCAGTCTTTGTCCCAAGGAGTGGTCTGCCTGTTCAAATTGCTGACCTAGTGGTTAGCAGCCCCGCCTCTACCCGCTGTGCATGGATTGGAAAGGGAGAATGATCGTTCTCAGAAAATATCAATGGTAAAGAATCTTTAGTCCTGGGTTCAATTCATTTTACCTGTTCCATAGTTTTCTACAATCAGGTGCCATCGATAGCTTTACCCACATGGTTAAACTCTGTTTCTACAAAGTATGATTCAAAACTAGAATGGTTTTAACACTGAAGTCCCTTAAGAAGGTGTCCTTAAACTTGGAAATCCATTTATTGCTGCTGCTATTGCTAATAGTATTACTATTATCACCACCACCAACTACCACAACTTTCATCACTGTGTGTGAGGTGCTTTATATACATTATCAATAAGCACAGTCCACACGAAAAAAACCCCACTGTGGTCAAGCTGCTTCCAACCCATAATGATCTAATAGGACGGCTGCTGCATGCCAAAGGACATAAACCTTTATAGCAGCAGGCTGCCTGTGTGGAGTGGCTAGTGAGTCTCAACTGCCAACCATTGAGTCCTAACACCCAACCCACTGTGAGACCAGGTCTTCTTACTAACCTTCCATCAACCTATAAAAGAGGTGATATACAGCTTTCCAAATAAAGAAACCGAGGCTCAGAAGAATCAATGCATCCTCAAGAGAAACTAGTACCACGATTTAATACAAATAGTGTACACTTAACTCATATGGATCTTGCTAACAGCATACACCCCTTCAGAGTTAGTCTCCCGTGTGCGTGATGCACATATTCTGAGTGTGCAAGGTATTTACATGGGCAGGTTGTATGAATGAGCAGAATAATGCAAAACTCAGCATGGCTTGACTGAGGAGTGGCATAAGGCGGTGGCCCAGTCACTCCTGTAAATCAAGGCAGCATGTTCTGGGGTCTAAGGGTGTATAGAGGTCACTCTGGGCGGTGGAAGAGGCAGTGTGCTGCCATAAAGATGGATGGGTAACAACACCAAGGTGCTGGAAGACTAGCTGTCCCTGACAGAGCAAGCTGGTAGGGCCCGGGCATAGAAATAAGCCTCGTCCTTCTGACTCTGAGTTCCACTTTGTCTGTCCGCCCCATTGTCAAAGTATTTTTCCCTGAGCTCACGAGGAGACAGCGAGCACCAAGAGGGAGCAATGCACCACGGTGGAGCGCCACAGCTTGTATGCCATTTTAACGACTCTGTATTAAAACTCTGCAGAGCCCTGAGGGTCCGCTAACCACAGAGCAACAGGGAGACCCCACCAGCCCCTCCGCTGCATGAAGAATTACACTCTCAGAAACCTGATCAGGTCATGAGGAGTTCGTGTCAGCTCAGGGGCAGGCTTGGGTTGGTTGGGTCTGTATTCATTTTGAAGGTGAAAGAGCAGACAGCCTGCTCTGCACAGACCAGCTTTGGAGCGCGCCTGGGGCAGTTCTGTAGGATAGCTGTGAGCTGCAATCGGCTGTAGGGCAACAATTTCATGTTGGATATCGTAACACGGACTATTCTAAAGTCCATCCAGTCCCTAAAAATATATGTGCTGGCTATTGCATTTTAACCGACTGTCATTTAATGTAAACATTTACAGAGTAGCAAAAGTGGCTGTTGTTTTTTTAATTGTAGTAATGATTGTGCAAAAGTGTTTTTTTTCCTTTTTTAATTTCTTCTTTTTCTCTTTCTTTCTTCTTTTTTTAAAAAAGTTTTTTAATATTTTTATTAGGGTTCATACAACTCATCACAATCCATACATACATCAATTGTGTAAAGCACATTTGTACATTCATTGCCCTCATCATTCTCAAAACATTTGCTCTCCACTTAGCAAAAGTGGTTTTTATCAGACACATGCATTGAAATTGTATTTCCTTAACTTTAAATTTGAAAATGTCTTTAGACAAGAAAATAAATACTTGAATTAGTTTCAGTTCCCACTGTCAGGCTAAACGAACTTTCTGCGGCTCTTTTAGTTTTTGACAATAAAGCAAAACCGAATCTCAGATAAGAATGGCATCAGCAGATGACAACAGTGTAACTGATATCAGCTACAACAGGTGTTTTTCAGCAGAGAGAGCAAGAGACAAGGGTTAGGGGTAAGCAAACGTTCTAGAAAGGTCTCTGAAGAAACTCAGCCTAGCTTACTTGTGCCTCCAGTCAAAGAGAAAGGAAGTAGATACTGGAGGTATGAATTTCAAGAATGCGTCTCAGGCAACAGAGCAGGCCCTTTGGTCCCCATCCATCATCCCTAAACGAAAAGCAAGATATTCACTGCCATTCTTGGTGAATCTTTTACTAGACCCATTAATAACTTGAGAACAGCTTTGTGCAAGCTTCATGTCCATTAGTGGAGCTGGAAGGAATAGACTTCCAAAAGTAGGAATGAACGAAGAGAAGCCAATGAGACAAAACTACTCCACGAACTAACAGTTCAAGACACCAGCAAGGACTGACATATGCAAACATACGCACGGCATGATCACATGATGTTGACAAGAACATATTTGCAAAGGGAACTGCAAAACAGCCTAAGTGAGCTTTCAACTTAAAAGGTAGCTGGGGGTGGAGACAGACACTCAGACAGGTCTATACAGGGCATGTTATAAAGGAAAGCAGGTGAGGTGTGTACAAATGTCCAGAAGAGGCGGTTTCCGGGAAGTATTTTCAGGAGACAAGAGAAAAAAACAAGTTCATTTGAAATGAAAGTTCTCTAAATGTAATACATTATCCCAAAAGGGCAGGAAACGGAGAGATTTAGGATAAATGAACCGATGGTCTGAGAGCTCTGGAGGAGGGGGATGCAGCCAAGGTAAAGGCAGGCAGTGAGCCACAGGAGCAGCACGAAGGCTCAAATAAAGGGGGGCAAAGAGCTACAAACAGGGGTGTCTTTTCAAGCCATGCTTAAAGAAAGGGGTGACACGGTGCAGATAAGTAACTACAGAAGGTTCGAATTTCTATTTTGCTTTCATCTCCTTCATGGAAAAGAGGGCAAACTTAACAGTTAGCGAGAATTGACTTTGCACCACAAAGCATCTCGGGCGCTCAGCTCAGCTCACAACACCCGAATTCAGCAAGCAGGGAACTGAGACAAGTGGGGTGGCAGGTGTAATGCCTCACTGACTTGACCCTACGGTGGAGGGGTGTGTGGCGGGGGTGGGGGGGT